TATGGTGTGATATGATAAATCTACCCTACCGCCTACTGGTGTTGGCCAGAGGGGCCGATGGCGCAATATGGCAGCCTGGCTTCTGTCAGTCTGCCCCAGGGCAGCTGTGGCTACAACCGTAGCTGCCTCCACCAGTGTGTGAATGTGAGAGTGACTGAATAGTGGCATTGTAAAGCGCTTTGGGTACCTTAAAAAGCGCTATATCAATCCACTCCATTATTATTGTTATTATTAAATTACTTACGAGTTTGATTTGTCAGCAACTTTCTGCCAGCCCTCTCTCCTTGCTTTTGCAGCCTTTGCAGTGTTCCCTTGCGTTTTAATTAAACTCTGAAACTCCTGAAATCCCTCACTCAAGAGTTCTTGCTCTGCTGCCGAAAAATACCGAGCGCGCTCCTTCGACATTTTCGCCGACCAATCAAAGGGTTGCCGATCAATGTTTCTACTATCGATGCGTAGCCCCTGTTGGGCCACCCAGTGATCTCACATTACTTCATCCAGCTATACTAATCGTCAACAACAGGTGTGTTCGGGGAACCGGAATAGCGAGCTCAGAGTTAGCGCGATGATTTGGTCTTGGATGTTTCATTTGATCTTGGATGTAGTAAGCGACGACAGTAGGAAGTGTCAGACATGGCGTTCCCCTTCCTTGAAGAGCCAGTAGATCGTGAAGCCCAAATTCTCCGCAGAGCTCTCCGCCGGGAGAGAGTGATTAGAGCGCGTTTGGACATTTTATCATTTCCTGATGATTGTCTGTGCGAACGTTACCGTTTCTCAGCACAATCTATAATTTATTTGGATAACATCCTCAGGCCTAATATTACGCATGTGACACATCGCGGACATTCTCTCAGTTCTGTACATATTATGTGTATCGCACTTCGGTTTCTTGCAAACGGGAGCTTTCTGTATAATATTGGTGACGCTGAGCACGTTTCCAAGGCTACCGTCTGTCGGGCAGTCAGGAATGTTACAGTTGCACTGAAACGTCTCCTGTACTCGTTTGTGGTGTTCCCCGGTCATAGACCCACAAGATTCATCAAAGAGGGATGCCACAAAATTGCAGGTATCAGGATGACCAAAACTTAATTCATGATGTGGTGATACTTGAACTACTACTTAAATTTTACATTTATTTTCAGGGTTCCCAGGCGTGATTGGCTGTATAGATGGCACTCACATTCCAATCATTGCTCCTTCAGTAAATGAAGGAGACTATGTGAACAGGAAGTCTTTCCACAGCATTAATGTACAGGTACATAGTTCCCTGTAGCATTTCAAACTAACAAATTATTTCATTATAGTAATGGATGCTAATTTGTGTTCTCTGCACTGTGAAGATCATGTGATGCTGCCAACATTATCACAAATGTGGAAGCCAAGTGGCCAGGCTCTGTCCATGACTCACAAATATTCCGTGAATGTACACTGAGCACAAAATTTGGACATGGTGAGTTGAAAATACTTTAAAATATATAAAGACCAATTGCTTCAGGGACATTTGAACTGAAGTGTACCCTTCTGTCTTAGGAGAGTTCACTGGCTACTTGCTTGGTAATAGGGGGTATCCATGTTTACCCTATTTGCTTACCCCTTACTCTGACCCTGAACCGGGCCCACAGCAGCGATATAATCTGGCTAATTGCAGGACAAGAGCCAGAGTTGAAATGACTATCGGAATGCTTAAGGCCCGGTTCCAGTGCCTGCAAAGACTCAGGGTCACCCCAGAAAGGGCATGTGACATTATTGTGGCATGTGTGATTCTTCACAACATTGCCACAATTAGAGGAGAACACTGTCCTTCTGAACCAAACAGCAGTGATCCAAACCATGAACATCCTGACCCTCCCACGGACATACAAGATGGAAGCGCAGTCAGAGACACCATATGTCACAATCATTTCTTTTGAGCCATCACCTCAACATGTTGAAAGAAGAATAAACACATTTTTTGTTCAACTGGCTTTATTGGTCACCTGTGTTTCCTGTACACAAAGTATTAAAAGATGTAAACCTCATAAAGTGTCTCTGTTGCTTCCTCCTCTGTAACAGCTGTCAATGTTTCTTCATTATTTTCCTGCAGTAAAGAAATTAACAACATAGCTGTTCTACTGTAAACTCATATAATCTGTGGAGTATTACTCACAACTGCATGTTGGTCTGGCTCAACAGGAGGCTGCACCAGATGCAGTACACCATCACCATCAACTGATAGAATATGAGGTTTATACAGGTCACTTATAACTTACAAGGGACCAAATGGCAATTAACAAACATACCAATCACCTTACACTTCATTGTCATTATGCTCTCAAAGACAACCAAGACTGAGGCAAGGCAAAATCAGTCGGAAAATAACTTCACTACAAAATAATCCATTATGGTAAAGAGTTTATCAAATGAATGAGTAGCACTGCAAAGGTGACTGAAGAAAGGATGTATGCACATCATGTATTATTTTGAATTTACCCCCTATGTAGGCACTTGTGTCTTGCGGGGTTATTGACTCAGAGGATGTCCCCGCAGAGATGCCTGGCCGCCCACTGTTTTGGCTGAGGGCCAACTGCTCAGCCTCTGTGAGTGGTGGTGGTGGTGGAGGACCCCACCTGTTTTTCGGGCCTCCGCTTTTTTTCTGTTGGCTATAACGGGTCACATTTGAGCATACAGAGTAAGCAAATATGTACTTGTAATGTGCTCAGATAATTTCAATAAGTGCTTACAGACAGAAAATTAATGTAGCCTCTAACTGCAATTGATTTACATAGGACAAACAGACCAAGCACTATGGCTCATAATACAATTACACCTTACCTGTTTGGACTATATTTTTATATTTCATTTTTACTTGCTGCCAGGAACGTTTGGGGCCTGTTGGGTTGCACCTGCGCTCACATCACGTCACAAAATAAAATGTATAAAATAACAAATAAAATAACATATGATAAAATAACGTGTTAAATGGGTGGAAATCCCTCGATCAATGTTTAAATTAACACTCACGCATTGACTCTGTCGGCTATGTTTTGCCATGCATGCTCACTTTCTTTTGCAGCTGTCGCTGTGTTACTTTTTTCCGCGGAATTTGCATGTTATCGGCATATACTGCCATCAGAATTTCGGCCTCAAGCGCTGTAAAATACATTGACCGCGCCTTCTTTCCCTCCGTCTCCATGGTGACTCGCTTAATCTGTGCTCCACTGATCAGGGCTTTATGTATCCTCGTCCGCGCGCTTCACTTGGGGTTAAAGCAACTCCGCGTTGACTGAACTACTTGTTATCAGCCTTTCTGAAACCGAATATTCCGAGTTGGACAGTTCGGGGTTACTCAACCCTGCGTATCGTTTTTCACTCTGAGTTTTCTAAACCGGCTTCCTGAAACAGGGCCCTGGTTTATTGACTGCTTAGATTCACTGGAAGTAAACCTGTGTTTTTGTTCCTATTTAAGAGCATGTAAAATTTATTTAAACCAACCTTCTACAATGGCAGTAATGGTGGGATCAGTATAATTAGAAGGGGAAAGAAAGCCTTTTAAAACCTAAATTTAAGGCAAAGTCAGCAACTTTTAAGGTGAAGTTTCTGTCAAATTTCCCCGGTGACTTTACAGTGCAGGCGAGTATTTAAATTAAGATAATGGTTCAAAATAACTGCCCCAATAAGTGGTTGTTTTTAAATGGCTGCTGAGAAGCAAAACTTAACACCTTGGAGTAGGGACTAAACTCCGAGAGCCAATAAAGGAGCACATCTAGCTGTGAAAATTAGATGCTTATCCAATCACCACAGATTTTATGAGGTACACTTTGAACCCTATTTTGCATTCAGAACTGCTTTAATGCTTCACAGTGTAGTTTCAACAAGGTGCTGGAAATTCTCACCCTGCCATTCAAATGTCGCAGCAGAAAAGGAGACTCACCAGACCAATATTTTTCAAATCTTTCGTCCACTTTTGGTGGTGTGGTCTTTGCTCCTCCAGGCCATCTGCTTAAAGGTTAAACGAGTTGTGCATTCAGAGATGCTCTTCTGCATTCCCTGGTTGTAGTAAGTTGTTATTGTGTGAATGCCTCACATTGCATTTTTTGCAATATTTTTGCCCATTGAAATGAATGGAACACATTATCAATGTGGTCACTTATTTCTGCTCGCCGGGCTGAGCTGTGTTTTAGCTCAGTGAGATGAGCAGCCGTTCTCAGACTGGGAGGCCAGGGTTCAAATCCTGCTTATGGTAACATTTTTTTCAGTTAACAGTAAAACTTTGTTTTACTCTTTTCAACACACATTTTATGTTCTTCACTCCTTTTTAGCAGAATTTTCAGTTTTTTCACCACTTTTCAGCACAAATGTCAGCTTTTTTAGCTCTTTTAAGCAGAAATCTGTTTTCAGCAGAAATTTTGCTGATTCACCTCTTTTCAGCACAACATTCTGCTTCTTTACCTCTTTTCAGCAGAATTTTCAGCTTCTTTGCCTGTTTTCAGTGGAATTTTCAGTTTTTTCAACTGTTCTCAGTTTTTAGTTCATGGAGACTCGTGGAAACCAGTATGTAGGACATTTCTGAACTTAAAAAAAACAAAACTTTGTGTCATTGGAAATGTTCATTTACTCAAGAAAATGTATAGTTATTTTTAACTCTTTAACTAAAACTGTCATGTTGTGTTATGAATAGCATGTTGAAAATGTCCCTTTTCCCCTTATTTCCTATCAGTTAGATTAAAAGTGCGCCAGCCGGGGACGCAAACAACTTTTGTTGTGTTGTGTCCAAACTGCAGTCCCATCTCTGGGATAAAGCTGTGATGTGCAGCAGCTCCTCCCACGTTAATTACAGCTGCCTCCCAGAAAATTAGAAATATCTTTCAAAAACATGTGAATAAAGGTTGCGTGCTTATGGCACGTGGGCTCGTTACTGATTACCTGATCAACAAGTAACGAAAGCAGAAAGTAACTCAGGGTCCTCACACTGGCTGTTTAAAAAGCTACTTTGAATTCAAAGTGGGCATTGTTATTTTCACCCCAGTTGGATGCTGCCAGGAATCGGGACTGCGCATGTGGCTGCCTGTGTGGTCTCGCGCTCGTTCACGGCCACATAAACACCTGATCTCTGCAAGGGGACAAATCCAGTGAGAATTTCCGCAGGAAACCGATCCCCTCTCGTCGCAGACCCCCCTGCTGTAGAGAGCGAGGTTTCCTGCCGAGCAGGATGGCGGATGGAGACACGGTGGTGGATCTGAGCGTGGGGGACAGCAGCCCGCTGCAGCTGAGGGACTACCGGAGACTGGCTCGGCTGTACTGCATGAATGGCGGACATCACCTCCAGATCCTCCCCGACGGGACGGTGCAGGGCCAGAGGGAAGAGAGTGACGCTCACAGTAAGATCACTGCGCGCTTTAACATCCAGGTCAGGCCTGGAGCATGACGCGTTCACTTCCTCTGCTGCAGGTGTTCCAGGTTAAAGCGCCATGCGTCCATTTCACTTTTTAAGTGAAATGCGGGACATCCCACTGCGTTAGTTTGTTGCAAAATGTCTGTGAGTTCAGTTTGAACGTGTTTATGAATGTGGATGGAGTCGGTGGTTGTCTGAGCACGAGAAAACACGCAGAAGTAGAAGGAAAGTTTACCGACAGGAGCAGTGGAATGGCGTGCTGGGAATGATGCCGCAGAGGCTTCTGTGAAAGAAACATTTCTGGCCTTGAAAAGGTGGAAACAGGAAACCACAGCACGAGACATTTCAGTCATCAGATACTTTTCTGTATTGATCAGCCATCTGCAAGCTCTCTTTTTACTCTGTGCTACACCGCAGGTGAACCTGTTCTAATCAAGGCTGGACAAAACAGAGAGAAACAGATTAAAAAAAAGATTGGTGGCTCTCTTTCTGCAGGAATATTTAAAGATTTTTGCTGAAGAATTTTCAGATTGTGAATAATAAAATAAATAAATGCATCGACAGCTGTTTTTGATGTTTTATATTCAGATGCTGCAGATTTACCTTTGCACTGAAACCTCTGAGCCAACCCATGAAATATTCATTATTTATATATTCAGATTTTGACAGTTTCTGTGTAATTTCTTGACTTTCATGTAATTTTTTGTTATCCTTTCAGCTGTTTTAAAGCTCAAAGCTGTGGACAGAGGTGTCGTGGTCATCCAAGGAACTGAAGCCAGCAGATATTTAGCCATGAGCGATGAAGGCCGTTTGTACAGTTCAGTGAGTATTTAAGGCAAATTTTATTTTTTAAATAAAGGTTTATGGGAACTATTACAAGAAAAACAAATCGGGAAACAATCAAGAATATTAACACTTAACATAAGACACATTTTATTATTCATTAAATTATTTTTTATCTGCTTGAATTGTATAAGTTCGGTCTGTGTTATCTGCACTGACATCATGTTTTTAAACCTGATCCCACTTTGTTGCAGAGTTACAGTCCCATGTAAAATCCTTGATTTACCCCTCATTTCTTTATATAGTTCTTTATAAGAATTTCATGTAAATGTTTTAAGCAGTAGGTCTTCAGGCTTTCTGAAGGTCTTTTAAAGTTTCTCTGTGGACACTGGCTGATTTTTCACTCATTTTCAGTCCAGTGAAAATAATCCAAGAATTATTTGTTGTTAATGTTTTTTGGTAAGTCACTTAACAGACCTGTGAATTCACTCCTAAAAAGACACCTAACTCAATGGATAAACCTTTTTTTTCACTTTTCAGTTGAAAACCTGACATATCTTGGCATGGTGTGCCGTGTGTTCTGAAAAAACAAGAGAACATTGGAAAACTATCTGCAACAGATAAATAGCATCTGTTTCTTGTGTCCTTTAGAATTTTTTTTTTTGCATCATATTCATTCTGTAAGTCTGTTTGTATATTTTAATAAATTTGTTGAACTTATTAAACCTACCAAAGAAAGGAGCTGCTTAAAACCTTTGCACACACTGTACTTTTAATATATTAGTTTTTTGTTCAATACCAAGAAGGTTGAAAAATCTGAGTAACAGAATAAGATTTCAACATCAGGGCATTCCCACAGTGTATTGATCACTGGTCATACTTCTCTGCTGCTTTGCCAGCACAGCTTAATGTAGGAGGACAAGACATAAACTCTGATTATTGATAGTGCAGGACTTACTGAATCAAAGTGAAACTATTAACTGTTATTCCTAACCCTTTAAATGTTTACATTTTTACCTCCAACTCAAACCTCATGAGATGTTATTTGAAATGTTCTTGCATTTGTCTCTCAGCCCACAATTACAGATGAATGTTACTTCCTGGAGAGGCTGGAGGAGAACCACTACAACACATACCAGCCACAGAAATATCACGACAACAACTGGTACGTAGCTCTGAAAAAGAACGGAAAGCCTAAACTCGGCCCGAGAACCCACATCGGACAGAAAGCCGTCTTCTTTCTCCCCAGGCAGCTGGATGACTGAAGGAGCAAAACACACAGCGATACCTCAACCGCAAAGGACCAGAAACACATAACCTCTAAATCATCAATAGGACTACTTACAGGAGATGGTGGCGTGAAATCAAGAGATAATAAATCCAAATAAAAGGGAAGTGCAAAGGCAGTCTGTGTAGTGCATGGAGAGATCAAATGTCTCTTTATTTTAATAATACGTCAAATCTATAGACACAACAAATCTTTGATTTTATTTGGTAGCAGGTCCTCTTAGCTCACAGAACAGACATGTAGAGCAAACATGAACACATTAACCTGCAGTTTAACAGGAATTTGTGCTTCTTGGACTAAGGTTTTCTGGGAAGAGTAAATAAATACATTGCCACTAATTAGGTACTGTACTTTAGCTTTTCTGTAATCTGTTTTGTTCTTGAAACCTTGACTGGATAGAAAGTGCTACAGAGCTTAAAGCCTAACAAATTAACCAGTAAAGCTTTCTCAGAAGTGTTGCTGCTCTGTTATACTTCCAACAGTTACACATTGCTGCCACTAGAAGCCGCCACTGTGCACGATTACATCCTCTCCAAAGAATTTTTATTTGCAACACTTAAATTTACCGGCCCCTTATGCACATACACACTGACCTATGAGTTAGCCCCTTTAATCACACTTATTAACAACTGTTTGTGCACTCACGGTTTTTCATGGTTTGTCCAATAAGGCTTCATAACCTAGAACAATCATCAGTATGCTCGTCTCTACACTTTGAATATCCTGCACTGTTTATATTACTATGCACTTAATGAGCCTTCATTTCTGTTCTACTGAGCTCTTGGTTCTATTTTGTTACGCTTTTTTAAATATTTGTTGTATTTTATTGAACTATTTTAATGTTTCTTTGCAAGCTCCTTTGACTACCATATTTATAGTTCTTCAGTTGTACCCCATTGTAAACCACTTCATTTTGTTAGCGGTTTTCCTGTTACACATTAATGAAGCATGCAGTGGATATAAAAAGCGTACACGTGCCTGTTAAAGTGCCTGCGGTAATGACGTTACAATAACGAGACCAAGATAAAACTTTTTCCACCTTTAATGTGACCTTAAAACAAAACTTTTAGCGGATCAAATTAAAAACATAAAACATTGTGGTTGCACATGCTCCTATAAATGGGAAGCTTACACTTTTTCTATCCACTGCATTTATGTATTCTGAGTAGGTGATGCATCAGTAACAACCCAGGAAGCTCAGCAGGTGCATTTAAAGTGACATTTATTTAACACTAAACAGTTTCTGTACAGTTTGATAACAACAAAAACCCCAGGCTGCAGCTCTACATCATATAGAAAGAAGCATAACTGGTCTGTAAATGAAAGCCATGGCATATGAAATATGAACTGTTGATTCAAGCGTCATTATAAAACAACATCCTGCACCACTTGCTTTATGTGTCTGTGACTTAATCTAATGATGGAAATGTCCTTATTGGCCGTGTTTCTAAAAGTGCACCTGCATTAAACATTCTTTGATAATAATACTCACAACAGAGAAACTTCTTACATAGTATGAAAAATTAAGAAATAATCATCAATTAAACCTTGAGGTAAAAACCCACCTGGAAGTAAAATACAAGTTCATTTCTTATGTACTGAAATCCTGACAGCTTTTCCTCTGACAGCGAGTGGGACGTGGACTAGAAAGACTGAGGAGTCATCGAGAGGTCACGCTGTTACATCTAATTGGTATTTGTGAGGACACGGACCAGAAAATGTGCTCATATGCCCTTAAAAATCATCTCGGTCACTGTCAGTGCCAAAAGAAATTTGGCGTCTCCACAGCTGTCAGCAGAGCAGCTCCAGGTTTTGTCATTTGAGGCCATCGAGTTCCTTTTCCATCTTCTAGGATCAACCTGCACATGCAACTTGAATTCTCTTCCCTGGTTGGAGAGTTTTACCTGATTTAATGTACAACAAAAACATTGTAACAGGCAAAAATCATGGATGCCGCTTTGCTGTGTGTGAATCACATCTACGATGACAGTTTCTAAAAGCTGCAGACAACACTGTCCCCTCCTGGCAACACTGCTTAAAGCCAACAGGTGAGTGGAGGATGTGTTCATGAGTACTTCCGTATTTACAGCCTAAAGAAATCTATAAAGAGCTTAAACCTCGAAGAGCAGATTATTATAAAGTGTGTTGCATGCTATGGCAAGCTTACAGAGTGTTGCGCTAATTAATACCTGTTGGCTTCAAGTGTCGCCAACACGAGACGCTCCCTATTTAATTGACCTTAAGGGCAGATGCATGCTCGTATGCTACCATCAAATGATATAAGGCATTACTTATACATTACAGACAGATGTAAATAGCACTTAACATTCGCCACTAATGAGTACATTGAGGGACTATTACTGTTAACCATTTGTCTTTAATAAAGGTTTGAAACAAAAGAAAACGAGTGATATAATTCCTGATTATTATTTTTTATTGACTCGAGTCGTCTTCATCTGGATCTCATCTGGCTGATTTCTGGTTAAGTGTCTTCTTTTATTTTAAACTCGTTCTTCTTCTTCGCATCCAGTTCTTCCACGTCCTGATTTTGACATAGGAAAATGGAGAAAACTGACATAACAGTGGAAATCAATCCTAATCTCAACCACAAATCTTACTTATCAACCTGACACACTGTAAGTAGAGCCAGTTAATAACAGGCCTGCTCACCGAATTATTACCACTCGGTTAAATATAAATACATGTTTTACAGAAACATGGTTTAATGCTTTTGAGATCATTTGTTGCTACAACTTTGTTCTTAAAAGTTCAGTTCATAATAGATGGAGTTGGTCTTCAGTGACATGTTAATGATATGCTGTTTTAACTTTAACCTACAAGGCAGAGTCTCACAAGATCACGAGAGAATCCATCATAAACCAGTCTCTGAACCACAGCTGGTTGCCCAATCAGCAGATAAGCGTTTCCCCTTCTACTGAGTTGGAAGTCGAGGGGAAATTTTTTCACACATGCCCTGCAGGAAATGCTTGTGACAAACCAGACGTCTGCAGTCAATCTGAACATAAAGCAGCTGCTGAGTACACAGGCTGGAGTGGTCCTCGGCCTGTATGCTGCTGCTCAGACGACACCCTAACCTCAACTAAACGCTGTATTTTCACTGCAGTGCACTTTAGAGGTTTGAGCAGACACTTAGAGTAAAACAGATGTGTGTGAAAACAGATACAGGTTCTCTGCTCTGTGTGAAAGAAAGGAGGGGCAGTGTTACATGAGCTGATGGCAAAGTGTTAAGCTGGTTTTATGGTCAAGCAGAGCGAGCGTGTAGGCTTTCGGCTCCAATCTATGCTCTGCCCGTCTGCCTGCAGTGAGCTCTGTGGTCAGGTGGAGGCAGTGTACAAAGTCTCTGCTGTTGCTCGTGGTGTTGTTGGTCCGTGAGCCAGCCATGGACCAACAGAACACACACAGAGCTGTCTGCGCTTTTCATGAAAGCGAACGTGGATGGACATGTTTGTGGGACTATAAATCCCACTTAAGTCTAAAGAAGTGACGTCAAACTCTTTGTACTTCATGTGCACATACAGCCTACTTTGACTGTAAGTTGGCCAGACCAGCGAAACTCCTATTTCTGTCAGCGTACAGATGTTTAACGACACACTTAATTACATTTGATATATAAATCAAAAAGTGCAACTTCAACTGCACGTCTCAGTTTTTCTACATGATAAAGAAATGTTGAGGTAAATTAAAAATCTGTCAGCATACTTAAATAAGTATGTAAATTTGCTGATAAAGTTCTGGTAGCTCTTTAACATAATTCCCATTCATTCATAGAAACAAGCCATCCAGTGGACCAGATTGGAGTCTTTCTGGCCCTTGGACTGCATTTTTCACATTCCCGGTCTAATTCAAGTGTAGCACCAAAGATTATTGGACTCCGACTGATGGCAGGGAAACTTGTTTAGGTCAAAGCTGCTGCTGCATGAAAGCTACACCGCAGATATGTTGTAACCACACAAAGTGAAACCCTACACCGTAACCGGACAGGTACCTCCCTGAAACTGTAAATACAGATCACATCAATGCAGGTAGCACCTGTTCTGACTGGTCTCTTCAGTAGTGTAGATTCCTTCTGTGCATTGCTAGGTATTTTTTTCCACCATTTTTGATTTAATTAATAATCATAACCTCAATCTAACCACTTAGATGTCAGCAAATTCCTGGAGGGGGGCTACTGAAACCATGGGAATGGACATGACACTACTGCATTTCATTAACATGCATCTTCTCTCCCATGTTTAACAGCTTCCTGCTAAAAGGGAGGTCTTCCTTCCCACTGTCACCACTGTCACCACCACAGCTGGGCGATAGAACGATAACGATATGTATCACGATATAACTTTTACTCGATAGAGAAATTAAACTATCGCGATAGACCTCGCCGCTCTTGTCCTCAAAAAAAAAACAAAAAAGGGGGTCAGCCAATCCAAATTAAGTAGCGCAGAGCCGAACCAATCACAGCCGCAGCGTCACGTCGCGTGACTTGTTACGTACAGCACAAGTGCCAAGCCGCACATGTGTATTTGTTTGGGAAGCAGCCAGCCACCGTACTGCCCGGGTAATGGAGGAAATGAGTGTGCCGACTAGAAAAATCAACCGAGCATGACCGAAGGTTACCGAAGAGAAAACAGATGATGGCTCCAATGCCGGAGAGATTGTCGAACGGAAGAGCCATAGAAGTTCCGTAGTGTGAAGGTATTTCGGCTATTTCAAGTCTGACAAAAAACAGAGTAGCGCGCACTGTAAATTGTGCCGAAAGCAAGTCTGGAAATACAATAAACTGGTGCATGCGTCACACTGTGCGCCACGTTATTGTTTCGGTGAAATGAATTTCTACAATACTGTTACTGTTAATTCTACTCTCTGCAGTGTTTAAATGCTTACATATACACACAGTTACTGTCCCTCCACGCATACGACTCGGTTCTGCTTCTATGCCCCAGCTTTGTTTACTTTTTCCCACCGAGGCTTCTAGACTTCTGATTGGCCAATATTTCTGCACGGTTAGGAATCTAGCGCCACCTGCTGCTTTGGCATGTTCATAGCAGCGTTTTCCTTCATTTCTGCCTTTATGTGTGGACGGGATTATTTTTTAAAACGAAAACGGAAAATCTCCGTTTTCAAAAATACCCGTGTACGTGTGGACGTAGCCTCAGTGTCTGACTGGAAGCGCTAATTCGTCATTCGACTTTTGTCAGACTAAAGTAACTGTTAAAACTGTTTGAAAAGCTCAGCTATACAACAAGGAGAGATTGAGAATTTCCTTTTAGTTCTCAGTTTATTTGATATTGACAAAGGTTAGTCAATTTTGTCTGTTCTTCTGTAAAACAAACTAAGATTTTTTTTTAGAATTAATATTTTGTATCTAAGTGGAATTGACAATTTAGTAGTCTGTTTCGTTTGTTCTATTTTGAAACTTAAACGCTTTAGCGGCTGCCTTTTGTGTAGTTTGCAATATTTGCCTTTATTTATCTGAAAAAGTCTCATGTTCCTTAAGTACATCTACCCTGTTGAACTTATTATGGGAAATAAATATTTAAATAAAAACAAGCTGCTGATTATTTCACATTTTACTTGTGAGCAACGGCACATTTAAATCGTACAAATATAGTTATTTGGCTTATATCGTGATAGATATCGTTATCGCCTGAAATGGAAAAAAACCAAAACATATTGTGATATGAAAAAATCTTATATCGCCCAGCTCTAGTTTAGAGCATTTCTAAACTGCAAGAAGTGCAAAGAAAACCCTTATAGGCACTTCCTGCTCTCTGTTTTCACTCTTCTCCCGACTGACTTTGGCAAGAACCTGTTTTTCCAACTGGCTGCACTGAAAGTAGCCTGTGGATCTGATTGGTTAAATTTCACCTGTAATGAACAGACAGTTATTTTTGGCTTGCACCTGCGTTTTTCCAAAGGACATCCCTGCTGGTTCTGTGTCACACACCATCTGGAGCATCAGGTTAGTTTAATCACAGAGACAGGTGTTGACAGTGGTTGTGCTGTGCGCCATGTAGCAGCAAAGTCAGAGGACAGAGGTTACATGGGGAAGTAGCAGGTTTATGTTTAATCTGCTTAAGCTGAAAAATCAAAGAGGTCGTGAACAGCTTATTTTAATCTTTTCACCAAGTCTCTACATTTTATTTTCACTTGGATGGAGCCACTACAAACTGTGGGTACCATCTGGGGCTTTTTGTTTAATGGCTGATTTTTGTGCTGTTTGTTTAGCTGCCATTCATAAATCAGTCCAACACGGATTTAAAGGTGCTGCCCACTAATGACAAACCTGACAGACAGTAAGTAAAAATTGATATTTTCTTCATGACCCATGAACCTTACCTTTAATAGATGAAGAGTACCCTTGTTCGAGGAAGGG